CAAGCGTTAGGGCAACGCGTGTGGCGTCACGATATGTTGGGTTTACGAACTCAGCACTGGAGTTCCTCAAAGATCAGTACTCCGCTGCACTATTCCCCGTACGTAATCGGTCTCTTGTCCACTGTTACCTCTTCTATCCACACCTTTATAGTCGACGCCACTATTCACTCATCGTCCTACTCCACCTGCGCGACCTCCGAGTATAAACCGTTGCTGTCCTGAACGTCACGCTTGCCAACATTCCCTAATAGTGTTCATCGAACCCAGAGACTTTCAACGCTTCCAAGTCAATCCATGCACCCACCACCCTTCTTATTCCACCCTCTGATCTAAATTTTTTAATCGAATTTGCTACCAACTTCCATTTCTCGTCGTTCATCGTTCTTGGCCCGTCTGCTGCCAATTTACGTTCTTTCTCACACGTCGCGCCCCTCACCAATTCAATTATCCAGGGCGGATGGGAATGCAACTACTACTATGCAAATACTACCCACATTCTTCTTTATGAATCACGGCTCCATTCCACTCTAAGGTTCTGCTGCCGTGTTTGGGGAGGGGATGCTTTCTACTCGATCCTTCTGTATTACAATCCACGTGAACCTGTGCGCTTCATTGCACCCACTGGCTGAACGTATTGCTTCTTTATCCAATCGATACTACCATAGAAGATTTTCATCAGAGCATACTCCTGTAACCTTGCATATATCTGTCATCCGAGTGACACGTCTTCGCTCATCCAGTCACGTTGTAGAATTTCTCTCTTCCTGTTGTGTCTGTGTGCTAGCTGAGTGAGCTTGATGGAATTTATTCTGTCACGTTGATAGTCTAGTTACTTGAGTGGGAAAGACCTCAAGGAAGAAGACAAAGGACACCAAATTGATTTCGACCATATTGCAGAAGGAAGAGCGCTGCGGCCCACTTGGCTACAGCAGAGAGAAAAAAGTTAAATCTCAGTGAAATACTACACAGGGTAGAATGGTTAGTTGGGACCTGGCCGCCCTAACACTTCCAATCTTTTTCCAAGGAAACTGCCTTCAGACCTTTTTGTCATCATCATCATCATCATCGCAGCATGACATCAAAGGTCAACACCGATTTTTCGCCGCCGTAGACCTTTTTGTAACTCTGTCTTCCCTAACCCATACAATCTGCAACCTTTCTGAAGTCGAGCTAGCGTCCCTCTCGGTGCCGCCTGAAGTTCGTGTTATTTTACGTTCTGTTTTATGTTGTGTTTTGTCGTTATTTACTGGGGGTCTCTCTGACCATGCGTGACCATACGGCTTGGCTCAGAAGGCTTAACCGCAAGGCAGCACCTAATGGGATTTACTTGAATGACCCTTCATGTTGCCAGTTAGTCATTAGTCTGACCCGCTGGACTGTGAGGTGGGATGCAATTAAGCCCAGCTCAAGGACTTATAGAATAAGATATAGATGGTTCGCTCTTGATACTACCACTTGTATTTCCACTCGATGGGCCAACGGTGGCTACAGTCAACAGATGGGTGACCGGAGTGTGCGGTTTTTGGGGCCAACTTTTTCCAGCCCGTCCTTCCTGCGGAAGCAGAGGGGGAATCAACATCTGCGAATCCATGTGTGGATATACTGGCCTCTGAAAAAAGCGTTTTACTGCCTTCACGCTTCTATCACAGAGGACGATACGACTTCACCTGTAGACTGCCTCGTTCCACGTTTAGTTGTAATGTGAGACTCGCTGCTGTTAGTCTGACTGGCCACTTCGGCCTTCCTGTCATAGCTCTTGAACGGAGTCATAGCCAGTGTATTTCACAGAATCAGGGGGGGGGGGGCGAGATGACCCAAGTGGTTAGAGCACGAATTTACTGGCCGGAAGGTCCATGGTTCGAACCCGACCTATGCCTCCCGACTTTCCCTGTCTAGGTTTAGGCAACCTGTTAGTATCCTTCGGGTGGCATGGCAGCAGGCCCCGAAAGGGTTCTACAGCTGAACGATTTTTTCCACAGGGTCAGTACAGTGCTCAAGCCCGGCCATGGTATCATGGCGACAGCTTTTGGTCGTATGGCTTGGTGAAATGGAGTGAAAAAGACTAGATTTACAACCTGCGAAAAGTAGAGTTGCCTGGGCCTCCTGGATTGGTGTCCGAGCAACTCTAGTAATTTGCTTCAAGATCGGGAGATATGGCGTAGTATCGATGTCCATAAGCGGTCTTCATTCAGAGTTGCGTTGGCTATCCAAAGTGTACTTAGTGGTAACCAAACAAAAAAATTAAATGCATGCGGCAAAAAATTTCGATCATTAGAAACAATCTTGTTGTAGTAGTCAGATTTCTAGACATTTCGATCATGATAAAGCTAGAATTTTTTGACGTTCCAGTGCCCCTGAACAACAGTAATATGCTGTCCTTTAAAAGCGTTATGTACGTGTAACCGCCCATTTGGGTTTATTGGTTTCTACAGCCTCGCCTCCCTTGGTAGCAGTCAAATGTGGACAGCTACCCTGAATACTATCCACTGTGTGCTTTTTATACAGTCGGTAGTGATAGGTGAACTGGGTTCACACGGTAGTTGGCATATGGCTGGTTACCGCCACATAATGTGACTGACTGGAGATCGAAGTGCTGGTCCCGTTGATCCAAGCTGCCATGATCCAGCTTCCGTTTGCAGTAACAAGGAGCTCAAGTTAAATACATTCCATCTGATTAAGCATAGCAGTGAAACCTGTTATATGTGTAATGCATAGGTAAACCACAGCGATATCATGAATTACAACATCTTTTACAAACTGGTGCGCAACACTCTTCACCTTCCTTGTGAATTGTTATCAATATCGTTAGGTGATGTCAGCCAGTTGATCAAAGTGGATTAAAGATAGTCTATTGCTGATCCACATTCATGGAGTCGGCAAAATACATTATGCCATTGCGTTCAATCCTTCCTTGTTTTCTTCGTTTCCACTGTACTCATGTTAGCATATTTACTTTTCTTAGGGGTACATGCGGTCCTACTTTGCCGGACTTCTTTGCGTCGACTGGTCACCAGACAGTCGGTTTATTGTGGTCGGTGGACAAGATGATCTAATCACTGTTTGGTCCATGGCGGAACGAGCCGTGATATGTCGCGGTGAGGGTCACCGATCCTGGGTCAGCACGGTTCGATTCGATCCCTTTTTGTGTCCACGACCAGATATTTCCTTAGAAAACCCTTCTTCTGAGGCTTCCTCCTGTTCTCGAAGTTGTGCAACTTCCGATGCCAGTGGAGTTCGACAAGATGGGCAGTACAACGCAAGTGGCTCATTGCTGTCTCTCGACTCTCAGTCACACAATACCATAGCTCTTGCGAACACATATCGGTAAGTTTCTAGCACATTCCCAACTTGCGTTGCTTGTGAAATAGTTGGTACATTAGTTTCGCAACTGAGCTACTGTCAATGCACTAATTCCCAATTGGGTTGCTATGGACTAACACTGCTGGTACTGTAGTCTTGCTCACCTTCGCCTCACAGGAAGGTGCAGGCAACCATTGCCATGGATTTCGTTTTACTTAACACCTCTACACCGAGTATGTCATGGCAGCTAACCTCACTTGTAATGACCCCTTTCATAATAAATATCGTCTCAACCATAAGCCGCGTTTCTGTATACGACTGTTAATCAAAAGTAGGGGTGATGGCACCCCAAACTGTCGTCTAGGTGTACAACTTGCGCAGATCTCCCCGGCCAAAAGTTCCTCGTCTGTTTCCCAACCTGCTTGTGTGTCATTGTTTTGTGGTAAAACACTGAGGTCTTAGATGTGATTACGTTAGTCTGTCTCAGTGCGTTTCATCTTTAGCTCATTATGTGAGTGCTTGGCCGTGACCTAAGAAATCGTTCAGCTGTAACATTTCGGTATCTAGCTGGCATGTCACCCGAAGGAAGCACGAGGGCTGGGATACTGCCAAGTTGCCAAAACCTAGACAGGGGAAGTCGAGAGGCAGAGGTTGCGTTCGAACCACGGACCTTCCAGTCAGTAAATCTGCGCTCTAACTGCTGAACNAATCGTTCAGCTGTAACATTTCGGTATCTAGCTGGCATGTCACCCGAAGGAAGCACGAGGGCTGGGATACTGCCAAGTTTCCAAAACCTAGACAGGGGAAGTCGAGAGGCAGAGGTTGCGTTCGAACCACGGACCTTCCAGTCGGTAAATCTGCGCTCTAACTGCTGAACCATCTTGCCCCTTGGCCGGCGCCTACCGATACTCTAATAAGGTCGCATCAGATTTTTGTCGCGTTTTATGTTCTCGTTTATGTTTCCGCTCACGCCCGTTGTTGAATCGTCTTAGGTGTCAACTGTCAGTCTTAACGCCTATTTTCTGTCCATCAGCATTTCCTATCAAGCACGACTCAAAAATTTAGAGTTGATTCACTAGGGTTAGCAACTCATCCAGCAGCTAGTAAAGATCGGTTCGCAAACCTGTATAGATTAGTCTAAGACAGGTAAGCAGTGTGATGAGCTTTCATTGCATAGGAAGGACCACTCATTTCTGTTGGTCCGTACTGCATACACGAATGTCGATTTGCTCCATCAGTAATGCCTTAGTTTATTTCCTGTCAGTGTTAAACGTTCACGTTCCCCCGAAAAATTCCTATTAGTCCCCCGTTACACTTTTAAACTAGTCGGTTCTACAACCTAAGTAATCTCCAATCTTGTATCCTATAGATTCGATGAATTCATCGATCTTTTTGTCGTGGTTTTCAGATGTTCTGCACATAAATTGAACGGAATTACTACCGTTGAATCGAGGCCTTAGTTTTTTCATCTTATGGACAACGTTCTGCTTCATTTCTTACTAACAGAATTTCCTGTCCTTTGTTTGCTTCATCTGTTCCTGCATGGGTAACTCGTATATGTATTGCCTTGCTTCTCATAGCCTTGGGTCCGTTGGACAAGACACGATGTTTTGCCTTTGGGATCTTACAGAGGATGTTATTCGTCAAGGAGTCATGTTTGTTCATGAATCAACTCCGCCACTTATCCTAGAGGAGCATATTCAACTGTCTGAAGGTGGTTCACTTAACCCTCCAATATCAGCGCCAGTGGATACGGCAACTACTGCAGTTTCTTCCTCCTCCTCTGGTCGACACAGTTTACGAAGCCCGTCATCGACTACTTTCACCACGAAAATGCCCTCTAAACGACATCCGCTTGTTTGTAACGCTCCCACACAAGGGCGAAATGTGACCAGCTTGTTTGGGTTCCTGACTCTGAACAAACGAAAGTCTCCGTCCTATTCATCCGCAACCATTCCTTCCAGCGTCCGGCACACGAACCCACCGGTGACTTACGGGTCCGAACGACTTAAAAATCCAGCCAGTGTTTTCAGTCGGTTCACTTTACACTCTTCAGGCCGTGGAATAGCTGACGGTAGTCATGCCACTGGAGGCGACTCTTGGACCCTTCCCAACGGAAATCCATCATTCACACCTGCTCTGGTTCACTCGAATGATTCCAACCGCTTTTTCGACATGAACGACCCAAAGTGAGCACAAATGTTGAATATTCTAACTATTTACAACTTCCTTTGACCTATTTCACTGATGGATATAGAATCTAATTAATATTTTACGAGAAACTCAAATGTTCTTAGAGAAAACGCCCCATCCCAAGAGGCTGTGAGAAAAAAAGCGGGTAAACAAGATAATGCGGTTGCTAGTCCTCCACCGAGTAGTTTTTAACGCCTGTTTTGCCAAAGCAACCCAACCTGGCATCATCAAATGTCGAAGTGGCTCATTAACGATCCTCCGCGCTACTTCACCACAACCGATTTACCAGTTGGGTTAAACTCATTCATTTTCATGTCCTTTCAGGCGGTATGAAACCGTAATCTAGAGTAATTTCCATTTGGTCTCAACAATTGAAGTTACCTGCAACTCGAAACATCACTCGAAGCCTTGAGGTCTCTCTTTCTTACGAGTGGCATCACACTCTTCATTTGATCATACTCAATGAGTTCATGAATTCAGATAATACCATACCTTGCAGTACCATAGTCATCCATTCGTTTCTCCAACATTCCAGTCTGGTATAGCGGAGGAGATACTTCTCCCTGGGAAACGTCCAGATTTTCAAAATGCATTTGCCTAGCTATATTGACCGCCTTATTAATGACGCTAACCCGCCAAGTGAACCTCATTTTTCTGTGACTCACTGTGCGTATAATCCCAAGCAGAAGAGTGTCTTTGTTCCTGATGTGGTTAAATTCGCTCAACTCAACTTTTTGTGCCCATTTTAGTTACTTGTGGCCTCGTCGCTTTAGGGAATACCATAGGAGCGTTCCAGGGATGTTCCTCCATGTGAAGATGCTCTACAAGAGTTTTATCGCGTGCTTCCTGCATTTTGATACTGAAATTTCAATTTTATTTCTGTCTAATTGCATTTCGACGGTCTTTTGAATCTTGTCCAACCTGTAAGCTCGCGATGTCAATAGCCTTACGTATCACCGATACATGCATGCCACCACAACATGGTGAACGTGAACCCACCCCCTACCCAACAGCGCACTGAAAATGTCTCCTAGAATGGAGACGAGACGTTTGCAAATCAATTGCCAAGCTCTCCGGACAGATGTACAGTCACCTGACCAATTACCAATGTGAACGTGTAACATGGCTGATACATACCGCCGTCATTAGGAGCTACCAGCTTCTTAGTTTAGCCAGTTTCGAATAAGGACCATCAAGCATGGCAAATTATTACGAAGACAACGGTGAGTGTTGCCAACTCGAGAACTGCTTCTTCCTACCCTGTGCCTTTAGGCACCCTGCTGGCGCCTAGCTGCCATGCCACCCGAAGGAAACCCGAGGGTTGGGGTACTGCCAGGTTGCCCAACTCTAGACAGGGGAAATCGAGAAGTAGAGGTCGGGTTCGAACCCCGGGCCTTTCGGCCAGCAGATTCGCGCTCTGACCACTTAGGCCATCTCGCGCCCCTGTGCCTTTATTACTCCCAATCGAATAGTTCATTCATAAAATATCCCAGCGAATGGTTTTGTGTGCTGAGTCAAGTCTAGTAAAAATGGGTCAACTGATATCGTGAGTTAGCGTGTACTACGCAAACCCTTTTAAGTGATAATCAGGGGCATGAACGTTATGTCTCCAGGTTTCCCGAGGCTAGACAGAAGAAGTCGGGATGCAGAGTTCGGGTTCGAACCACAGACCTTTCGGTCAGTAAATGTGCGCTCTAATCACTGAATTATCTCGTCCCTTTGGGTATTTTCCTCGGTAGCACGTGTTCTGGCGAAGGCTCCTTCATTTTTCTCAACCTGACGTGGATAACAACGAGGAAGAATTATGTTCATCCTTACGCAGGGGGGTCTCTTTTGAGTGAATCGGTGACTTTTCTCTTAGTGCATATATGTGATGCACTAATAATACTACATGTAACATTTTAAACATTGAGTGAACCTTTCTCTGCCTTTTGGACGAAACTGTTTGACAACCAAGCAACGAAAGGGGGTGTATGGTTAACAATTAACCAAAAGAGTAGGAATCATGTAATCGATCGCAACTTGGGTTTGAACTATGGTCCAGTAACTACATGTTTTTGCCATCCTGGCATCTTAGATGGTGTGCACCGATGGTGTCATCCGAAGGCTGGGATGCCACCAGGTTGCCCAATCCTAGACAGGAGCAGTCGAGAATCCACGGTCAGTAAGTTTTTGCCCTAACCATTGAACTGTCTCGAGCTCAAGGTTCCAATGGCTCTGCGGATTGAGAGTAATAAAGCTGGAGTTGCCCAATGACAGGAGCAGTCGAGAATCCACGGTCAGTAAGTTTTTGCCCTAACCATTGAACTGTCTCGAGCTCAAGGTTCCAATGGCTCTGCGGATTGAGAGTAATAAAGCTGGAACCTAGAATGGAACAGCGCACTGTAACTAACAATTTGTCGGCCTTTCAACAATCACCTTGGTACCTACTAATGACCAGCCTACAAGTTCAGAACGTTGTACCAGTATTCCTCATTTACGTAAATGTAACAGTATTGAGTACCTGGAGCCTTCATTCTATACGAAGCTGAAAAATTCCATTGTATCTTCACAAAAGCGGGCCCAATAACTGATCCATTTAACTTTCCATCACTTTGATGTATAAACCTGAGATTAAGATTTCTAGTCACGATGAAACACTTCCACCGAGGAAGCAATTTGTTACCCTCCAAAGGTGTTTCCCTCAGTAGAGATATGCTGTACTAGTACTTTCGTGAAACGCCTATTTACTCGGCTCACTTTCATCCATCTCTTGTTTCTAGTTTGTTTGGGTCACCGATGTGTCCACGATTCAGTGACGTCCCCGTACTGGAACCGATCGTGTGTACAATAATGCATCAACACCGACTATCTGATCTGGCGTTTCGTCCCACTAGTGTCCATATCGTATGCCAGCAAGGCTTGGTGCGAACGTGGTCGCGTCCAGTAAGTGGTTTCAGTTCTTACAGCCAAACTGCACTCAATCGTGAAAGTGCAATTTCCAGCCGTATCACTTTTATGGATGAAGGGTAATGCCGGTCATCGCAAAACATGAAATTGGCCCGACCAGGCTGTACACAATTTTTCAGTCAATACGATTGGTTACTCTGTATTTAGTCTCCAAAACTAAGGTCTACCTCACCTTTCACGGATCAAAACACGGTACGCCTCGATTATACAAAACGCGGGAAGTAATCAAGATGTTCCTTAAAGGGAGGTTCTTCACAGAGCGAAGCTAGAATGTAGCAGATTTAGGAAACAGTGTCATAGTCTGAACGGGTTGGAGGGGATTTGTAAGAATGGCCGTTGGCTTGTTCGCGATTCGAATGTAAACGTTTCATCACCAATCGAAGCAACCACTAACCCACCGCTACGCACCACTGCGCTCCCCAATAACGCACTGATGATGTCACCTCGATTGGTGATGAAACGTTTGCAGTCAAATTGCCCAGGTCAGCGAACAAGTCAACGACCATCTACCCTACCTGAGCTACCATTATTCTCATCCATGATATGTTCTTCTTGAAACTGGTTCTTCAGAATTTTCCATACCTAGGCAGGCATAACGCAACTGAGATTGAACCAGGTGAGGTTGTCGGTAGAGCTCGAGGCATGTGGCCTCCCTACTGTTACGGTTCGACCACACAGCGAACAAACAGTAAGATACGCGGACTGTGACAATATTCTATCCCCAGCTATATTGCTTGATCCAGACTCCTAGCACGGCGAATAGTAAGAAGACGAAAAACTTGGGACACAACTTTAATAATCCAGACAACACGCGATCAACAGGCGAATCAACGGAAAAATGACAATGCATATATATATATATATATATATATATTCATAGTTTGAGCTGGAAAATGCCGGAAGTTCGTTAGCACACACAAAGATACAGTTTATGGGGGGATTCCGTTTCAGAAGGTGAGCTATTTCGTATACTAGTTTGGTTATTGCTTTTGTCCAAAAGAGTGCGAGTATGAGTTGGGAGCTATAGGCCCCCGTGGTTTACAGCCTACATAGCAACACCCCGGTACGTGGTGCAAGTCCTGTGAATCTCACAACAATCCTACATGAAGACCAAACTTCTATCTTGCCAAGAGCCCCTCTGATTGTTTTGCACGCGAAGCGTAGAGGATCCCCAAGTGGTACATCTGTCCTGCCAAATTGGTCGTTCTGTTGAAGTGTACGAAATGCACACCCTCTTGCTCGCGCATCTGGATGTTCACACCACACTTTCATCATCGCGTCTGCTTCCGTTAGCTCAATGAAGAACGGCGGATGTTCTGAATTTCTAGCTGTCTCGGCGCTTAGTTTACAGTACAGCCAATTCGGTAGTGCTCTTTGGTTCAATCGGATCTGTCCTTGTTGTATATTGTGGTGGCCCTGTGGTGTTTTTAATACTGCAACGACCCTTCAGGCTACACTGGCTACAGCTCAGTTTCAGGCATGCCAGGAAGGCCAACGAGGAGCATCCCGACGAGGAACATGAGTCCGCGTATCACTAGAAATCATATTACGAGACGGCCTGGAGGTAAACTCATACCTTCCTTTGCGATAAAAGTGTGAAGGTGTTTCTTCCAGGCCACATGTATGGAAGCAGCAATGATGCCACCATTTGGAGAAGAATAGGTAGACCCTGAAAACTTCATGCCGATCGCCCAGCAGCCGTGACTACCGAATCATCCAATAAGGCCAGAATGCACTTGAGGTGTATCAGGAGTCTGGTGTTCAGCTCTCACTTCCTGCCGTACCAAACAAACGGAACCGTTTGATGTGAATGAACTGGTTGAATCATCCCCTCCAGCGCGTGCCTCTCATTTCCTTATTCTCTCTATTCTCGGCGAGTGAAGCTGAATTATTTGGAACCACTGTGATTCCGTGCACGGTTTTTAGTTGGAAAACTTAGCTAATCTGAACTCTCCTTAACATGGGCATTCGAATGACGCAAGTGTAGATGTACGTTTACACGTAAACCTAGTAGACAGCTGCAGAAAGCAGATTGTTAGCTTCGTTTCAGAAGAGCATGGTAAACACTCGGTGGTTTTTATTTGGGCAACGTTTCGCTTCTGACACAAAAGCCTCATCAGGCCAAGTGAGCAGGTCACCAAATTGGCCAGGTTATAAGGCAGACGGGAAACCAATCAGTAAGTCAGTCCTCGTCAGATCATCACACTAGATCAGTGTTGAGTGTCAATTACGGCTCTTGTCGGTTAGTGAAGTTATCAAAATCTTGCTTTGGTGGATTGGGGGGAGGGGGTAAATCAATTCTGATCGGGTTTTTTTCGTTAATCTTCCACTTCAGAGTGCTTCAGTTGACGATTCACCTCGATTGCCACTGGTAGATTTACCCTGGTTTTTGTGGGGTCTTGAGTGCTCCGACAATTTAGTTTGAGGGCTTGAGGTCAAGTGGAATGCAGATGATGACCACTCTTCCTTCTGATGACCGCACACCAACACGTGTCAGCTCGACTGATCCAGAACCGTTCTCCACACGCTTGCCAGTTCTACGCCTTCTATTCTGTTAACACTGGGATGTTTGGCGATTTCTACCGCCTCGGCGATCAGTCTGTGTGGCGTGGACAGTCGTCCTCGCCAGTTTGATTAGGCGTCA